AACCCAAAAAGTACTTGTTATTCCTAATTTACAGATTAGGAAACTCAGGAAATTAACTTGCCCAGTGCCGTAAGGTCAATACATGGCAGAGCTGAATCTGCATGCAGCCCTGTCTGACTTTTCATACTGTACTGAACTGCTTTTCCAACCCTGTCACAACCCAGAACAGGAACAGAGCCTTAGCAGACACAAGACTCACCACCGGCATAAATGTGACATGTCAGAATTTTGTGTTCCCATCATTTCTTTGTTATTCTGTTTACTTAAACTTTCAAGATATCAGGCTTAAGGAAGACCCTGCAGAAATGTCCAAATGACTCCAGCATAATAATTGGATGATATATTACTATTATTTCCCTTGAGTCTGTATTTATGGGGAAACTGGATATAAGTGTGTCTTGCAGGCTGAATATTGTTCTCTTAGCCCAGTGATTAGAGAGAAACAGATGGTGGAGAGATGGCAAGGGAAGGATAGACTGGCATTGGCAAATCCATGTAAAACTCACCCATTAAAGTGGTAGTCATAGCGATCTTTCCAACCATCTACTAGCCCTAATGGTACACAGTGGACAGGAGTCATTATAAAGCCCAACAAAGCAAGGTCAGTGAGCCACAGGTCTCACCAGCAAAGCCTGAAGGCTAATTCAGAAGGCACATCTACAATAAAAGCACCACTACCACCACCAAGAAAATAGCCAGACATCCTACAAGGCGCTTGACATTTGTCATGTTTCATGCTCATAACAACTCTCTATGATAGGTAATAGCATTATCACCATTTTATAAATGAGAAAAATGAGGAACAGACACGCTCAGTAACTTGCCTAATGTCAAACAGCTGTCAAGTAACCCCAACTTTCCACGCTGCAACCCTCCAGGCACCCATGTGACTGGGAGAGGCCATGCCATCAGCAGGTCTGTTCCAAGTTCACAAATTTTCTCTCCCCTCTTCCAATTTCTGATGATTAAACTGATTTACTTTAAAGCTTGTACACTTCCTGCAGCTTAAACAGATGGGAATGGCATCTACTAGCATAACAAAATTGTCTGGTGATGAGGACTCAACTCTAGAAGTTAAGTAAGAGAGAAATGCCAAGCCCCTTACAGGCAGCCCGTGCTCAGTGATGTCTAGTGTCCTTCCTTCCTAAAAACCCAGCTAATGCTATAGCCTCCTTCTTGGCTTACAGATCCACAACCCAGTGGCAAGGATGGCCACTGGCCTTTGTTTAGTCCAACAGGTCCCAAATATATTTAACCACAAAAGGTTGTATTGAGAAACACCCATTCCACATTCCAAACAAACTTGGTGAAATGCTCACCTGTCCTCCCAGCTTCCAGCACAAAAACAGGGGATTGCAGGGAGGAGGAGCCAGGAGGCGCTTCCCTGGGGGTGAAGGCCCAAGAGTAGCATGACACTGGGTCACTCCTGGCTCCTTTTCCAAGGGGTCTGCTCTTGGCAGCATGCCCAAGTGGCCCCTGGCTTTGCACAGACCCTGGCTCCAATGGGCTGTCACATGAGAGGACATTTAGGAAGCAACATCCACTGCCCCTTGGGAATCCCCAATGGCTTTCCTCTCCAGAGATGTGGTGCCCAGCCCTTTCTGTTTATAGTCTGAGAAACTATTAAAGAAAGGACAGGCATGACAAGGAGGCTGGGACACAGATGATCCAGAAGGCCAGAAATGGGGAGAAATCTCCCTAGGACCTGGAGTATGCCAGCCCATAACTCCTGAAGGTTGGCGTCTTTGCAAACCCATCCCCAGCAGGTCTGGCCCACGGTGGGTGGTATCATGATGATGGGGAGGTGGCCGTCAGAGCCCTATAAAAGGATGACTCCACCTGGCCCTGGAAGTGATAAAAACAGCCCCTTACGTGCCCGTGGGGTTTGCAAGTTTACAAAGTGCTCTCTTGTGCATTATATAATTGCATCCCCACTGAAAATTAGGTATTATTCTTCTTTCTTCCAGTATACCAAAGAGAAAATGGGATTGTGAAAAGACAAAGGTCCAAAATCACAAGAGGGTATAAGTGGTGACCAGGTCCCTGGATTTAAAATGCCCCATCAGGAGCCTGCCTGTGCCCCACCCTGCTACCTGCCCTATCTGGGGTGTCAAGACCTGGCCAAAGGTTGGAAGAGGAAAAGATGAGAGGAGGCATAACTTGGCAGCCCTGGTGGTACAGAGTGGGGAAGATTTGAAACTGAAACAGCAAAAGGCAGTTTAAATAAGCAGAGGCTGCTGTGGTTTGAAGGTGTCCCCTCCAAAGTTCAGATGTTGCCAGTGTGACAGGATTAGGAGGTGGGACTTTTGAGAGGTGATCAGGCCATAAGGACTCCTGTCTTGTGAATGGGATTGAGGGCCTTATAAAAGAGGCTTCATACAGCATGCAGCTAGCTTGTCCTTCTGCCCTCTGCCATGTAAGAACACAGTGTTCTTCCCTTCCAGGGGATGCAGCCCTCATTAGGCAGCTGAACCTGCAGGCACCTTGATTTTGGACTTCCCAGCCTCCAGAACTGGGAGAAAATAAATCTCTGCTCTTTATAAATTATTCACTTTCAGACATTTTGTTACAGCAGCACAAACAGGCTAATCTGCAGTCTCAGACAGCAGCTGAGTTGGTTTTGAGAAATAGAAAGACTCAGATGGGAGAGAAAGGTGTCCCTCTCCAGTGCCAGCAAATCTGCCCATGAGAGCATTGTTGCCCTGGGCTGCAGGGCAGCAGCCCTGGGATCTGAGGGCAGGTTGGATATGGAGGGAACCAGGGAACCAGGCATTGCCCTGCCAGTCAGCAGCTCATCCTGGCACTAGGAGCTGCTACCCAGGGTCAGCGCTCACTTCCACAGAGCTCCTTTATGGTTAGGTTTGTAGAGCAAGAATGCATATTTCAAAGACATCCCTATGACGCTGGTCTTGCTCCAGAATCAATCATCACGTGAGTCTCTTGGTGCTGAGAACAAACAATGTTGTTCAAATTGCTGCATGTCCACATTCACACAATGTGTTTTCTCAGAGATCCTGTGAGGCAGGGACTCCCATAGCCGCAGCTGTGGGCAGCCAATCACACCAGTTCATTGCCAAGTATACAGCCTGGGTCCTCAGGCATCCTGAAGATGGAGCATCACCAAGGTTTCCCTGTGTTCCCAAGCTCTTCTCAGTCCCCAGGAGATAGTGTGCGTGCATGTGAATGTGTCCAAGAAAGAAGGGAGGGACCAGATGAACGGTCAGCCCTGCCATCCTCCACGTGGCTTCCTGCTTAGCTTCTGCATGTCCCAGCTGGAGCTGGACATCAAGTTGGCTCCTTCCAGCTCTCCTGTCCAGGCCTCGGTTGCTGGTCCTGTAGGCACTGGCTGGGCTGTCACTCCAAGAAGCTGGAGTCCCTGGGCCACCGGAGGCCTCTTCCTGACAGTGAGGACTGCAGATGCCAAAGGGCAGATGTTGGCTGGTGTCCCCCAACTGGCAGCACCTGCTGAAGATCCCCAAACTCCTCCTGCTTCTGTGGGTGCCCAGAAGACAGAGGCTGTGGCTGCCTGGAGCATGCAGCTCATGCTTCCTGAAGCCTTGTCAAAGGGCGGAACTGGGCCCTCAGCTCAGTGTGGGTTTCAGGCCTGGCTTCCCCTGTGTCCAGTCCAGGGGTCACATGGCCCCTTTTCCTTGCTTCTGTGATGGACCAGCAGGACTGCAGCCAGCACTTGGTGGGATGGACAGATACCCTGGGGCCCCTTTTTCCACCAGGCAGCCTCCATTGAGGGCTGTTCTTGTTCAGTAGATGGGACATGAGGCTTCACCTGAGCTGAGTTCATACAGGACAGGCAAGCCTGTCAGCAGCACAGCTGGGTTCATAACCAGGTCCCCAGGCTTTGAATGCCACCAGCAAGCTACCAGCCTGAACAGCTCAGTCTTCCGCTGGCTTTTGAAGATTAAATCCCCTTTTTGCATAAGCACCTAAGGGGATTGGAGCCTACAGAGGGCCAGCTTGGAAAACGTAAGGAGGCACATCTGTTCAGAGAAAGGCCTGGGGCGGCGTGGCTGTTCTTGCCAGACCGTGTTGCTGAGGAGGTCCGTGTGGGTGTCCATGAAGGTGGTGACAGAGGGCCTGCTGGGGCACCAAGAGGACCTGCGGGGTCTGGAGGTGAGAACCTAAGAGACCAGGAGGTCCTGCTGGCCAGGGAGAGCTGGGGTACGGACAGCAGACCCCTCCCCACGGCTGCCTGGCTACCCAGATTACACATGCTCACTGAGTGCTCTGCAGTCAGGAACTTCTGGGCTGAGTCTCTTCAGCAACTTCTTGCCTTGATAAACTCAGTACCTCCCAGGACAGTTCATGCATGGCTCCATGAACTGTCTCACCCGCTGAATGGATAACCGTCTCCCTGCAACTTCTACCCTTTGGGATGATCCTTCTTGCCCATGACATCCCTTCAAATGTCACCCCACGTGTTGCCACTTCCAGCCCCCCCCTCCTCCTGGGCCCTCTCCCCTGCTGGAACTTCAGTGGAGTTACTTAAGCTGCTTTACAAATGGGGCTTACACATGAGCTTGGTTCGAAGCAAGAGCACCACAGTTTAAGGGTCTGAAACCATTAGTGCTGCCCAACACGACGGCCCCTTGTGGTCCCGTGCTATCTCTGGCCTGTGGCTCCCCGTCCCATAGACGTGCAAATGCCTGGCTTGGGTCAGCACCCAAGAACAGAGGCCACTGCCCCTGATGGGGAAACCCAGAGCCCTCTACCCTGCTGCGTCCTGGCTGGCTCTGCTCTGCTCACATTAACGAAGCGGCCTGGAGGTGCCAAGCCAGCCCACACACATTCAGGACATGCCTGTGCCGCTCTTGAGTGTGGTACGGGGCCCATCAGCACTGCACTGGGGGCCGGGCGTCCTGGGAACTCAGGGCAGGATGGGCAATGCCCACAGAGCGTGCCAGGCACACAGTGTGTGGGGGGCGCCCGTGGTCCCCAGGTGGAGGGCATGCCGGGGTGGCAGGGCGCGGCCGGCGGGCACTCACAGGGCAGGGTCTCGGCGCTGTTCTTCTGGATCATGATGCAGAGCTGTAGCACCAGTTGGGGCGCGCTCTCCAGGAAGGTCTCCAGGAGGCGCAGCATGTTGACGTCTGCATATTCATACATCATAGCCCAGTAGAAGCGTCGCTGGTGTTCCTTCCGCCGCTGGCTCTGAATCCCCAGGTACATGGTGCGGATATACCTGCCCGGAGAGATGGGGAGAACACAGAGAGCATGGGTGGGTGCGGGGGCTCCAGAGGACCCTTGCCATCTCCCTAAAACCAAGAGACCCAGCATTCCCCGCCCCCTGCCCCGACCCTGTGCTCTGAAGTTCCCAGAGGCTTGGACGGGGCTCTGGGGGTCTCCCGGCAAAAGGACATGATGCTGAGGCATGGGGGAGGGGAAGGGCAGGTCAGGAAAGGATTTGACCCCTCATGGGCTCCTAAGCAAGTCCTCCTCCTCCTGGTCTCCATTTGCTCATCCGGAAGATGAGACTATGGGGCACGATGCCCTCCCAGGGCCTGCAGGTAGGCATCTCAGCTGAGCCCTGGGACAGGGGTGGGTTTTCTCAGGTTCAGGACCCTGGCGGGAAACAGTCCAGCAGGGTCGTCACCTCTGTTATTCTGGAGCAGGAAAGGCAGGGAAGGGGGTGAACATCTGTGAAGCTCCTACTACTTGCCATTCGCTGGCTGGCCATGCCCAGGTGGTAAGTAGGAGGGTATAGTTCTCACATGTGACAGACAGGAAATAGCGCGGGCTCAGAAGGGTCACCCCCACTGCACAGGCTCGTGTTGCTGGATAGTGGAACAAGTAGGAATCACACCCAGGCCACTGGACACTGTCTCTGGACATTAGGGGGACCCAGGGTCTGCCACGGAGTCTCCGTCCCAGCAGGGCCCAGGACACAGGTGCAGATCCACTGCCCGCCCTCTAGGGACCACGCCCAGGCTCTGTGTGGGAGGGCCGAGGGGCCAAGGAAGCAGGTAGGGGGAAGAGCAAGGCTCACAGGTCAAGCAGGCCTAGACTCATCACTTGCTAAGTTGGGGACCTTGAACTAGTTACTCCAGCTCTGTGTCCTTGTCGCTCATATTTCATATGGGGACAGAATGAGAGCATCGCAGGGTGCATGCGAAGATTAGTGAGATGATATGCACAATGGGCATCCCCCCAGGTCGTATGATAACCCCAGCCTCATTTTCACCAGAACTCTCTGGAACTGTGTCTCCAAGGCAAGAGAAGGACTTAAGGCATCATCCAAACTCAGCCAACAAGCTCCAAGTCTGGTCCAGGGGTGAGGGTATGGACAGGGCTCACCCAGAAGCAAGGGCCAGAGTGCATAGCTCTGTAGGCCCAGTCAGGATCAAAAACAGGAACCATAAACTGGGTGCCACCAGCAGTGGGAGAGAACCACACGCCTGTCCTTGACTGTCCTGTGGGATGGACGTTCTAGGACCCGCTACTGTGCCCTCTGAAATGCTGAGCCTGACTTGTAAAGATTCAGTGCATGGCTGATGCCCTATCCAGGCCCAGCTGGCCTTGGGTATTACCAAGAACCCACTCAGGGCTGCTGGATGGTCCGTTTTGTCGCTGCCACACCGCCAGCAAGCTCCCAGCCACTGCCCCTCTTGCCTGGAGGGGTGCAGGAGTCTCCTCACTGGTTCTCCATTGTCTACTCTTACCCCTGAACAACCCATTCTTCAAACCGCTACTAAGCCACAAGGGTGAGCTCAAACACACATGCCAGCTGCAGTAAGCCCTGCTCGCCATCCAATGAGGGGTACCTGGCTTCTCTCTAGATTCCTAAGGGCCTTTAGGGGCCTGGATCCTGAAGGGACCCAGCCAGGGAAGCTGCAATAGATACCTCATTTCTCTCCAGACCCACCCCCTGAGGTGAGCAGAGACACACGCTTACTGAGAACCAGAGGCTGGCATTGCAGTGATGGCCCCATCAGGGAGGGACATGGGAGGAAGGTCAGGACACCAGAACCCCCGGGCCAGGTCCTTCCAGGTATACAGTCCTTGGGGTCCCTGGCCCACCTTGCGGGTCGGGTCTGGTTATCACCATTCAACACATGGGGGAACTGAGGCTCTAGCATGAAATAAAGCACCAAATTCTGGTTCTGTTCCAGGTTCTTCCACCTGCTGACTGTGGCATTTCCACAGGGCGTTACCTTGCTCTGGGCCCCTGCCTGTGAGTTCACAAAATCAGGAAACCAGGGAAGAGGCTCAGGAAGAGGAACGGGGAGGTTGCACCTGGTCTCAGAGCTCACAGTCACTAAGAGAGGCGAAGGGAGAGACCCAGAGAGATAGAGGCAGAGACAGAGACAGACAGTGAGACACACACAGAGAGACAGAGAGAGAAGTAGGAGGGAGCTGAAGGAGAAAGCAAAGGTAAGGGGAGCAGTGTCAAATTTGAGGATCTGAAGGAGAAGACTGCCTGGAGGAGGTGAAGGCAGAAAGAAATGTGTGCAGGGAGGTTCCTGGAAGCAGATGTCATCATCGGTATTTTGGGAGGGGCTGAGGGTGAGCCCTTGATGGAGGGTGATAGAAGGGTCAGGCTGATCAACCATGATGGCAGTGCAGGGAGGCAGGGCATCAGGGGACACGAATGCTCCAGCTGAGGCACTGAGGCAGGGCTGTGCGCCCAGAGCTTTGGCACCTGTGTCCAGGAGAGACCTGTGCCGAGTGGAGCCTCAGTGCGGTGGGTCCCCCAGATCAGAGCTGCTCCCTGTGACCCAAACCCGGCTCTCTCAACAGGTGGCACCTGCAGCACACAAGCCATGAACCATAGATCATTCCAGGCCCCAGACCACAAACCTAACGGTCTCAGGGATACACTCAGACTATACAGACTCTGCTTCTTCTAGCCTCACAGGTGGTCCAGCGGCTGGAGGAACGGTCATACAGCAGCACTAACCCTATCCATCTGGGTCCCAGGTCAGTAATGCCAGTGCTCAGGTTCACCCAGGCAAAGAGAGCACCGGTTCTACCCCTCGACCCCACGTTCTCCCCAAGCCACAGGCCCCTCTGCCCACCAAGGAAGGGGAAAAGGAAAACAATGAGCCCAGAATATGCCAATTCAACTGGAATGCCTGCCAGGGGAGCCAATCTTGACGCTGTCCTGGGTGTGAGCACCCCAGGGTGTGGGAAGAGACAGGGTGGATATAGGCAAAGCGGGTGCCACTCCTCCTTGAGCCAAGGTGCCCTAGAGGGCACCACGGTCCAGGCAAAACCGAGTTTGGACAGCATGGTGCCTCCTGGGTCACCCATACAGGCACCGCAGGGACTGTAGTAGGGACTGATCACAGCCCCGCCCAGGAGTTCCTGACAGCCAGGCCTCAACGCAAATGCTCAACCTTTCCAACTGCTCCTGGCGCGGCCCCTCCTCTGCTACTCTTAAGTCCTTGGGTCCCCAGTAGACAACCGAGGGGTACTGGTTTGCAATATAATTGGGTCTGGACACTGGTCTAGTCCAACCCCTACTTTATAGGGGAGGGCCCCAGTGCCAGAACGCAAGCCACCGCCGACTCAGTCACTCAGTGCTGTGGGGCCCAGAGCAGACCAGAACCCAGGCCTGACCCCATGACCTTGCTTGTCCCCCACAACACATGCAAAGCCCCTGCCTCTCATGCAGGAGGATCCTGGCAGCTCCTGCAATCACGTGGCGGCTGCTGTCCTGGAGGCTCTAGGATTCTTCCTCCTCATCCTAGCTTTCCCTGGTGTCTGTCTCCCTCAAGATCTAAGGAGCTGCCAAGAAACAACCAGGCAGATGGGTGGGGTGGGAGGAAGGCATAAGGCATGCCCCCCCCAACAAAAACCCCTGGGCCAGCGCTGCTCTCCCTCGGTATCTCAGTTTCCTGGGTGACCTCTGAGGTTGCCTTGAGGTTGCGCTGCCAGCCGCCTCCTGCAGGGCCTCCCACATCCCCTCTGCAGAAGCGGCCTCGGCGCGCGGCCACACGGTGGCGCCAGACCCTAAGCGTCGCGGAAAGACGACTCCAGGCGGGTGATCTCATCCTACAGGCCCGCGCCCTCTTCTGCCAGGGCACGGGGTGCAAGCCCATAGGTGCCCTCCGAGGTGGGAGGCAAGGCGTCTGCAGGACACTCAGGATTGGCTGCCATTCCTCCAAGCCCCCTCCTTCTCCACCTTCCTGGAGAGTTCCAGAAAGCTTCCCGCACCCTTCTCCAGGAAGGTAGCTTGGGAGTCAAAACACTAACTCTCCTCCCCGATTTGCTCCCAAAGTCGGTGTCACCTCCTGTCACGCCATATCTCCCCTAGGAGACTCGGATCATGAAATGCACGGGGGTGAAGGCAGCAACGCCACATGTCCTCAGGAGCACGGGCTCAAGAAAGCTGGGCCTGGTCTATGGTCTGCAGGACTGGGCAACCTTGAGCAAGTCACCTCCCATGGCTGGGCCCCGCTATTCCCATCACAGGAGGGGCAGGCAGGAGGGATCTCCAAGCCTCTGCCAACATCTTATAACTTTGTCTTCTTCAAGTCAGTGACCTCACAGAGCACAAAGGATGGCCTAGCATCTTTACAAACAATAATGTCTCATGTTTGTGTGACATTCACTTGTGCCAGGCTCTATTATGGGCATTTGGTACCTATTACCTCATTTAATCCTCACAACACCCCTATGAGGTAGTTGCAATATTACCTACCAATTATTCATTTTACAGGTGCAATATTATGGGTGCAATATTATCTATCAATATTTATTTTACAGACAGCAAACTGAAGCACTGAGGTCTAAACATTCGCCTTGCTCTTCCCAGCTAAGTAAGTAGCTGAGCAGGGCTTCAAGCCCAGGCAGTCTGGCTTCGGGGCCAGTGCTGCTGACAGCTCCTGCCCACGCACCTCCCAGAGGTAGACCATGTGTCTCCTTACTTCTGAACTCAGTCCAACTTGCCTGACAGTGGGGAAGAACGGAGTTTGCCCAAAACACCTGGGCTCCCGTCCAGTTCTGCCACCTGGCTGTGTTACCTTGCGGGACATCTCCTAACTTCTCTGAGTCTTAGTTTTCACATGTATAAAATGCCTAGTCCAGAGTAGAACCCCAGAACATGTTGGACAAATCAGTGCATACCATAGTGCCCCCTCAGAGGGTCACAGGAGCCTTAAATAAGACCATGCCTGCGAGCACAGACAAGAGTTTAGAAGTCGCCATGCAGATGGCAGCCATTACTGCTCCCTGAGGTGC